CTATGCAAATCAAGCAACAATCATTATATCGGGGTAAAACTTTGCGTGAATAATACGTTTAAAGTATGCCACCTTGTGACCAAAAATTGTCTAAATCGAACCAAAACTGTTCAAGCCCCTAAGTACTAAATATGTGGACCCCAGTGCCTATAGTTGACCTTTTACCGAAAATATCAGTCAATCTACAAAGAAATCTCAAACGAGTATACTATTTGACTTTGCGAGAGTATAAAATGTTCGGTTACATCCGAACTTAGCCTTTCCTTACTTGTTTATTTACGTTTTTTTTATACATATGTACATATACATACATATGTATGTATTTTCAGCAGTCTACTTCCTTGGAAACCCTTGGTAATATTGTACATACATGGTGAGCAACAAGACAAGCCGTGTAAAGTATGTGAATTGATGGGGAATGGGTGAAATAATAATACCCTAAAGGTTGTAATCTAAAAAACTGAACTTCTGTTGATTAGTACGGGAAAGTGAAGGAACCATAGTTAACTTCACACCATTTTTGTTCTGGTTAATTCTAAATTAAAACATATCGATTGTATTGTTTTTGATTTTCTAATATATTACGTATTTATATGATATATTATTTGCTTCTAACCTGTTGAATGCCTAATGTGTACATATGGTATGTATGTACAAGGTGTGTTCAAAGCAAAGGGGTCATTCGGTGAGTCCACTCTGTCTCAAAAAGTGTTTAAAAGTGGTACAAGCGCTTAACAGAAGGCCGAAAAGATGTTGATGACGGTGAGCAGGTGCTACCACGTCAACAAGCGAAAAAAACATTGAAACAGTGACAAAAATTGTACTTGAAAATCGTCGAATTACTATTAGGGAAGTTACAGAAGATGTTTGCATATCAATCGGCTCTTGCCATTAAATTTTCTCGAATATTTTGGGCATGAAACGTGTGGCAGCTTTGTTTGATTCGAAATTGCTAAATGTTGAGCAAAATCAATGTCGCATTAGTATCGATTTTTTGGCCAAAAACAAAACCGTAATCATGCCTCAACCACCGTATTCACCAAATTTGGCTCCCTGCGCTTTTTCCTACTCCCAAAACTGAAGAAAGCAATGAAAGGAAAGCGTTTTGCCACAATTGATGACTTGATCTCATCAGAATCGAAAAAAGAGCTGATGGCCATACCGAAAAGCTCATTTCAGAAGTGCTTCGAGGATTGGAACAAGCGTTGTCACAAGTGTATTATATCCGAGGGGGATTGCTTTGAAGGGGACGAAATAGATATTGATGAATAAATAAGCACTTTTCAAAAAAATTCCTAATTCGCCTTTTCCCTTGAACACACCCCGTATGCTTATGCATGTTTTTGAAAATACTATTTCAATCGAACTCATTCGAAGTGCTTGAACCATGACAAGCATAATCTTAAAAATTTTGCATCGGGAAATGTAAGAAAAAAACTTTATTCTGTTCATAACTCCATGTAACATTTTCCAGTAGTATAAAAATTGATACTGGTATATGCATCATACTTATCTTCCAAATTAATGCAGTTAATCAATTTAAAGTTGAAAGCTATTTGAATAAGAATATATAAAAATTAAATTTCTTGTGTAAAGCAAGAGTGTCTGAGAACTATCATACCGGGATTAAAATAAATATCAATAAGTGCCAATAAATCGGTTGGTTATTAGACTAAACCAATTTTTTTCGAGAGATTGGGGAATAAGTAAGAAAGTAATTTCTGAGTTTTTTAAATGTCATCTTTCAAAATAAAAATATTTTTTTCGAATTTCTAAATTTTGATTATTGAAAATATCATATTAATTAGTATGTGAGTTACTAGAAAAGTAAAAAGATGAGCATTAAAATTAAATTGATAAATTATTACTCTTTTCTGTATCTTCACCATCAGTGTTGGCAATATTTTCTTAACATTTGAACTATTAAAAATATTACAATAATAAATACATAGGCACTAACAAACACAATACGTACCTAAACAACGATATCAAGTTTTCAATAATGAGCCCATTATTTTTGGAAATATAAAAATTGTATTTTTCGAGGATCTAACCTATTGCTCATAGCCTCTGTCATAAAAACCTGACAGAAAAGTATTATGTACCATTGAAATAAGAGGTAATCCCTCCTGATGCCTTTATTTTTTCTTCATTCCTTCCTTCCTTTTTCGTACTTATGACTCACTTTTTCTAAAAAAACTTGGTTGGGTCCAAAACCATTATTAACCACTATAGCTACACAAAATCTAATTGTTTTATTCACTTCATAACTGAAACTACGTATTTTCATATTTTAATACAGCAGGTGAATTAATAGATTTAATATTATTAATATTTACTCATATGAGAAATAAAGTAGCTATGTGCATACATACATATATAAAAATAATATTTTTAACTGTTGCTAACTAATTTTAATTGTCACTTTTTATCCCGAAACATGTAGGTTTAAAGTATCACTTATTTCGCAATTTCTTAAAACTATTGCTTACTAGATATAGATGATGCAACATAAAAATACTCTTGGAAAAACATATTTTTATTTTTGGAAAATTAAAATATTATTAACTTAAGTAAATATCATTAAAATAAATATTACAGATTTAAGCTTAAGATAACTTCAAAACAAGGATGCAATTCATTATAAGTTATTCTACAGGCATATACCACTACTTTACATAAGTATAGTTACCAACTGAATATGCATATAACATTTATTTTAGAAGGCTACACAAACACACTTATACTGAAAGTTTTGGAAATAGGTAGCAAAAACCGGTTTTTTTACTTATGTTTTAATGTTTGCTCTTGGTCTTCTCTTTAGTAATCCGCAGTACAAATAAACTTATATTAGAATGTTTTTATGTGGTCATTCGTTTCTATTTCTGATTTGCGTAATAACTAAATTAGTTTCGACAATAGATATTTAAAATATCAGAAAATTTTTTGCTCTTGTTCAGAGACTGACAATACTAATAATATATTCCCTTCTCCCATAAAAATATTTGTGTAGATTTTTGTGAAAATTTCTATATTTTACTGGTAAAATCGCTCGAACGGAACGAACAACAGTTCTTAACCTTTTTCAAGTTCGATTTTGTATTGACATATTTAATGAAAACAGTACACCATAAGTTAAAATATAAAACCAAACCACACAAGAAATACTTCAGTTGAATTTTCTATAATTGCAAACAAATAACGGTAATAAAAGCGAGTAAAATTTTAGTATGACTAAGTAATACAAAAATTATTTAAACTTAACCAATAGAAATTCACATTGCTACTACAACACCAAATACAAATCAAATTAATTCTGTGCGAAGTTGATTGCACTCAATTTTTTAGATAAAGCTTTTCAAGGTCGAAACCAAAAATGCTTTATTTTTCATCATAGGTACTGAGAATACTCACATGAATATGCTCGTTATGCCAAATATGAATAATTACAACAACAAAAGTCAATGTCCAAGCACCGGCAAAAATATTGGCACATACTAAACGAATGCGTGAAAATACTACAATTCAATCATACATACAAACTCAGACGACCAGTTGTGAGATTTAAAATTTCCAGATTTCCAAATGTAATCTTATAGCGAAAGATTACCTTAAGTTAGTCGAGCTATTCATAAATTAATTTCTAAACACTAACAAATAGCGAAAACTTGATCCTGAAAATTTCACTATAGGCATTGGGTGTGCGGTTGTAGGACGCACTATTCGTGAAGTGAACTGTGAACTTTCCCTGAAATATTTATTCTAATTGAAGTCCGTCAGTTTTGCTCTCCAGAACCTTAAATATATCCATTCTCGGGGCAACGTTATCTCTCGGAAATACAAGTACATATATATATTGGAAATAAAATCATAGTGTATAACCATCTTAACAAAAGTAGCCTACATCCTCAGAATTTAACAATGGTAAGAAGGTCGTTAATGCGTTATAATATCACTCTGGCCATATGTTTTTATTATCGTCATATACATAAAGCTATAAAATGCACTATACCCAGCATTTTCTGACCCAAATTCTAGCGATAATCTCTTTGAAAATCCCAAGGATGCCTCATTTTCATGATTTATGACATGATAATATTGTTTTTATCGACATTTTCCGTCTCAAAAACTGATTTTCGGATTGTTATCAATTGCTCCATAACTGCGGTCATTTATAAAAGGGAAAGTTTTCCAGTGGGAACGTCAAATAGCATGTTGTCAAAGATCTTTTGGAGTTGCCAATAAATCGATTGAAAAAGATCCAAAATAATGGAGCAACCATATATGCAATTGAAAAGTGGTGTGTGCTTCTCGCTTTTGACTCTATTACACATTTTACTTAGTTACTATCTATGGATTTGAAAAACTTCAGCAAAATGGCCCATTTAAGAGGGTTTTTCTTTTCATCATACATATCGTATATCTAAACTGATGTATTTGAACTGCGCGCGTGCAATCAGAATCGGTAAATAGTTTGTTCTTAAATTGCTACAACTATAGTTTATGTTCGTGTGAAGTGTGATCTTCATATGTCAAATAGTGTGTGTTTGACAGCTGTTTGCTTACGACACGAACAGTTTGCATGGCAATTTCTATATATAGAGTCAATGAACTTATGGCACGTTTTAGTTTCGAAAACAAAAAAGTCACAGCGAGATACTTCTGGTGAATACGAAGGCTGTGACATGACTCTCGTTTTGAGTTTGGCTAAAAAGTCAGTCAATCAAGTAGGATGTGATTTTTGGTTTGAGTTTTGACACGCTTCATACCCAAAACTTGATTCAAAATGGTTGAGTCGATCCATAAGAGATATTAAGATCCTCTGCTATCTCTTTGATGCCAGTCCGGGGCTTCGCGAAGAACAGTTAACAGTTAGGATTTCAAAGCTAAAGGTGTCAATGCAACGAATATATAAATAAAGATATTATTATATAATATTATAGATTTATTATAGATTTTATTCTTCATGTTACTAAAATTCATTATATTTTTCTTTGCAGTTAAGTACTACACACAACGCACGTTAAAATATAGAATAAATCCAAGAAATCGAAAACCTTAATTATTTAGACTGGTTTATTTAAACAAAACCTTTCGTATAGTAATTATTTTATAATATATGAATCATATGAAAAATACATGTGTTAAAGAAGATAGTGTGTAATCCTGGGCGGAAAGGGGAGACGGGGACATCTACACCCAGCTAACAGATGATCCCCACATGTCAATTGTTGCAGTCGAAAATGCAGGGTAAGTTAGCTTTTCATTATAAAAACAATAACAGATATACATTCATTACGTATTTATTTATTAATTTTATAATGTTATCAATGATTAGGCATTTGCACTATTATACGAGTACAAAGTTTTTTGTTTGAGTATCCCTTTTCTGTTTTTATACTCTTGCCATATGTTACTAAAAAGTATAATAGTTTTGCTCATCTATCGGTTGTGTGTATTACCTAAAACTAATGCGAAATAGATATATAGTTATATAGATATAGTGACGTAATTAAGACTTCACCATAATCCACTTACATAAAAGGACCAACCGCGGTGGTCCACTTAAGTGGATTTCATTTTAAAAATATTTGATATTGCGCATCTTCTCAAATTTCAAACAGAACACAGCCACTTAGGCAAATACGTACACACATAAGTAACATCGCATAATAAATTCACATATGTAATCCTAATATTTCGATGTAAGTAAAATCCGATAATCCAGTACAGTTAAGATTTCTTTGTACCATTTAATTTAGTCTTAAGCTGATATTCAATATAGAAAGGCGTGCAACGGAGCACTTGTTCTATTTAAAAATATTAGCGTTGATCTTAGTCTACATGACGGATCATTAGTTCGACTCAGCATAAACATAACTGACGCAGTTAGTAAGATGCTACAAAGTATCTGAAAAAAAGAATCGCGAGTGGAAAATAAATTAAATTGTATAATCCGGTTCTCGCAAAGAATTACGCATTACGCTTGTGGTTTTATTACTTCAACTTGGATTGGATTGTAAGAAAAGAATAAAACATAAATCTAACAACCCACAAATCCAACGGCAAGGTGAAAATAATTAAGAAACAAAATTTTATTAATTCTAATAAAGTTCGAAAGAAAGAAATTTGTGAAAGTTTTATAAATACAACATAAAATGCCACAATCAAATGTTGCTGTAGTCCAGCTCGTAACGCTAAACGAAAAGAACCTTAGCGAAGCTCGGAACCTGCTTAAAGACATTTCTCCATATAAGGGAGAGCCAGCAACACTTTTCATATTCATCAATAGAGAAGAGTACATTTTATCACTCTACCCAACAAACGACGAGCGCCAACAACACATTCTGGTACGAGGAATAGAGCGGAACATAGATGGACATGTGTTCAGGCCCTTAGGCTTACCAACCATAGAAAACTGGGCAGACCTGAGAGCGAGATTGATTGAAAAATATAAACCACAGACGCCAAACTACAAGTTATTGGAGATTTTTCGCGAGACACACCACAAAGGAAATTTACGCGCCTTCTGTGAGGTGGCGGAAAGTCGACGTCAGTTGCTAGTATCCAAGCTATATTTTGAAGGTAACAACTCAAATCTCCTTATTTATCTAGAAGCATTTAGGGATTCTATTAAGATACTTATTCGCAAATTGCCATCAAATTGTTCTGCATTTTGGCTCATCATGACATTCCAGAGAACATTAATTAACATACTTAGCCCAAAATGAGGGAATTTATGAAGAACACGCAAATGTTATTATAAACAAATACTGTGATAATAGAAATAAAAATAAAAATCGATATCCCGATTTGTGTACATTAAAAATGAATCCACCTAATCATATCCACTATCAACCTGGTTATCCGCAATATTCTCAACTATTACAGTCCAATTTTAACCCATACCAGTACCAACCCAGACAGGTTCCACAGCACAGATCCACAGCAAAATTTTAATAAACAACTTATGACATACGAAACAAATCAAACAGAACAAATCCCCATACCTTACAACTTACTCGAAACAAACTATCAAGCGACCTAGACCAGCAGCGAAAAAACAAAAATGTCTAGATTACAAGCCGCTCAAGAATATGGACATGGTGAACCTTGTACCCAACACTTTTATGAACCAGAGTACTCAATATCAAAGCTAACATAACATTGGTACCACCCGCACAAAATCAAAATAACTCTGAATTCAAGGAAAACTTTTCCACCAACACCAATATTTTGAAATTTTATACAAAGGTCATACATACAAATGCTTTATTGACATAAACTTGATACAAAAAATGTGTTTTCTCTCCCGATTTAGAAAACCAAATGGGAAGTTTTTACATCAAATGGTTTCATTATTATAATAATATTATCAAAACTTTTGAACAATTTTATTTACCAGGTATACCGATATGAAGTGAGCGTTAAGATACAAATGTGTTAGTAGGAAACATTTGTTGTGAATAAGCATTAATTTTTTTTTCTGTTTGGTTGGCATGACATCTGTCAAACAGTCATTGAGTTAACAACATCATATTTATACGCTAAACTGAGCATATTAAGTTTGCTACGAAGTTTGTAACACCTAGAAGAAAACATCGGAGACCCTATAAAACATATACATAAATGATCAGCATGATAAGCTGAGTTGATTTAGCCATGTCTGTCCGTCCGTCTGTCTGTATATATACAAAATAGTCCCTCAGTTTTTAAGCTATCGTTCTGAAATTTGGACCTGCCTTTTCCTCACTAAGAAGCTGCTCATTCGTCGGAACGGCCGATATCGGACCACTATAGCATATAGCTGCCATACAAACTGAACAATCGTAATCAAGTGCTTGTATGAGAAACCTTTTTAATTGACGTAATATCTTCACAAAATTTCCAAATGTAACAATGTAATCTCCGAAGAAATTGCTTAGATCGGATCACTATAGCATACAGCTGCCATATTAACTGAACGATCGGAGTAAAATGCTTGCATGGAAAACTTCTCATTTGACGAGTTATCTTCACGAAATTTGACATGGGTTATTGTCAAAGTCTTTAACACAATCTCGGAAGAAATTGTTCAGATCAGATTGCTATAGCATACAGCTGCCAGACAAACTGAACGATCAGAATAAAGTGCTTGTATGAAAAACTCTTTCATTTGACAAAGTATCTACAAGAAATTTGACAAGGGTTATTGTCTAAGGCAATAATGCAATCTCCGAAGAAATTGTTCAGACTACATTATTATAGCATACAGCTGCCATACAAACTGAACGATCGGAATAAGTGCTTGCATGGAAAACTTTATTATTTAACAAGGTATCTGCACGAAATTAGAGCGGAATCAAGTTCTTGTAAAGAACCTTAGTATTTGTGAAGGGTATTATAGCTTCGGTGCAACCGGTTTTCTTGTTTTTTGTTTCCATTTGAAAAAAAGTGCTGCAGAGTCATATCGAATGCTCCAGGTATATGGTGATCATGCTCTATCAGAAGCAACATGCAAAAATATGGTTTCAACGGTTCAGAGATAATGATTTTGATATGAGAAATGAAAAACGTGGAAGACCACTAAAAAAATTTGGAAACGCCGAACTGCATGCAATATTGGATGAAGATGATACTTTGAGTCAAAAGCAAATGGCAGCCATGAAAAAAGTTGCACAACAAACAATTTCAGATCGTTTGTAAGCTATGGAAAAGATCCAAAAGTGTAAAAATGGAAGCCACATGATTTGAATGAAAGACAAATGGAAAACCGAAAAAACACTTGTGAAATTTCACTTCAATGACACGAAAGAAAATCAGTTTTGCATCGAATTGTCACTGGCGATGAAAAACGGATTTATTTTAAGAATCCTAAACGGAGAAAATCATGGGTTAATCCGGGATAAACATCAACATCGACTGCAAAAACAAATCAATTCGGTAAAAAAGCCATGCTCAGGGTTTGGTGGGATTAGAAGGGTGTGTTATATAACGAGCTTCTAAAACCTGGTGAAACTGTTAATACTAATCGCTACAGACAACATGTGACCAATTTGAACCATGAATTGATCGAAAAACGACAAGAATGGGCCAAAAGACACGGCAAAGTAATTTTGTAACACCACAATGCACCTGTACACAAAGCAAAATCGGTTCAGGATACAATTTTCCATATAAGGACTGAGAGTCAAATCACATATCAATAAAAACAGAAAAAAATGATCTTGAATTGTTCCGATTAGATCATCTCAATTAAGAGGAAAGTTGTAAATTGAAAGTACTACTAAATAAGTTCAAGAATCTTCAATATCAAGAAGGATATCATTTAACATTCACAAACACAATAAACATGTACTTAATACAACGCACACAAAATTGAAGTTGAAAATCAAGTGCAAGAAATGCTTAAACAGGAATTAATAAGGGAAGGCAGTTCATCGTATAATAGTCCTACATGGGTAGTACCAAAAACCCGGAAGGAAGTTGGGGAATATTCCCCTACCTCCCATATACCTTAGATAAGGATTTTCAAACTCCATTTTGACTTTATTTTATATATCTCGGTCAATCTTTAATGAATCTTAATAAAACTAGAGATCATCGTTTCCTGGAATGGTATGTCTTGGTTGGATTTATACCGTGTACATCGGTCAATATGTAAGATAACATTATGTGGTTTAGAGTTGAATTTGAATGAAATTGGTATTGACCTTGGTCTAAACCTCTTATCCTTAGTATATAAATATGATGCTACAGAAGATAATAATTTTATTCACCTAACGGTTATTTGTATCACCTAAAACTAATCGAGATAGATAACCATACATCTGTATATACATATATAAATGATCAAGATGACGAGACCAGTTGAAATTGGCATGTCTGCCTGTCCGTGCATGCTGAATATTAAGTAATAATTGAGATATCGTTATGAAACGTAATCGGACCACTCCCACGCCATTAAATGAAAATCTATTAAGGGGTTAGGGGTATTCAAAGGCACGACAAAATGAGAATATTCAGTAATTTTTTTTGTTATTAAATCATGTTATTTTACAAAAGTAGTAATATGGCATTAGTATACAATGTTTTGACTTGAAGTCACGAAAATTTCGCAAAAAAATTATTTCCAAAGTTATTGCTGTCTGTGTTAACCCAATTCCAAAAAAGGTCCTTGCGGTGAAAATCATAAGTCCTTGGAGATTCATCTAAAATCCATCGGATGAAAAAATTAGTTTTGTAAATAGATAATCCTGGGCCTGATCGAA